TAAAAATATATATATATATATATATATATATATATATATATATATATATATTTCAGCTAATGTTTATTTTAGTACCAAGTACCAACATTATTTATTCATGCTTTTAATTAATGCTATATTTAATGCAGAATTAATACATTTTGTAAGTGTAGATTAACTTTTTAAACAATTTAGCATCCACTGAATGCACATGATCAAAATCTCAAGAGTAGCATCAGGGTACACGCAGATCTTCTAGTTTTGCGCATCTTGCATCTTGTACATCTAACCCCACGCTCACTGTGGTTTCTTTTTTCTCTCCTCAGAACCTTTCTCCAAGTTAACAAAGTGTGTGAGTTTTCATGTAGGCTAACCACATCCTGTTCATCCCTTTCTTTTATCTGCTCTGTCTTTTTATGAGCTGGAAATCTGGGCTCAAGAGCGTGACAGCGAGGTGCATGTATGCTTACCACAGAGCAAAACAAACAGACTGTTAGGCCAAGCCACGAGCCAATGAAACATGAACGCAGCGAAAGAAGAGCATGGTCTTGGTGTGGAGGGGATGAATTGTGGATGCTCGCTCAAACCACAGCTATGAGACCACGCCTGCAATACGGCGCTACGCTGACCATTGTTAGCGTTTGTGTTTGTGTGCAGTAACTTCACTATAATGTACAAGCCAATTTGAAAAAGATAAACTAGATGTGCATTTCCAGATGGAAAAACCAGTGCTTGCAAGCACATGTGTCGTTATCTTACATAGCCTATATAAAAATAAACGAATAATATTATGTTAAATATATTTTATTCCAAAGCCTTTAGATATGCAAAGATGGTGCACTCATATTTCTTACGAATGGGAGAAAGTCCAACGTGCAACATGACAATAAGTCCTGCCTTCTAAATAAAAGGGCCAATCGCCAGTTGGTAAAGTGATCATGTCTCAGCAGCCGCTGTTAGAAGTTCTGGTTGCCAGTCAGTGTTCAGAGACGCATGTTTAGGACTTCACGTTGGCTGAGCCAGCCTGAAATATGAGCTTTTAAAATGCTATTTGAGTATAAGAAACATTATGGGCAGTTCATGTGAGATTTTGTTGCTGATTTGAAATATGACACTTTAATGTGAGAGTGGAGAGCAATTGCAAATATGACTGGCCAGTAAACTAACTTTCCTTAAAAGGGACTTTGTTGTACTCTCAAAATCATGTTTTAAAAGCGTAATAAAGTGGTTTTATTTTTCATGGAGAGTGTTGTCTCATGGCGGGATCACATGATCAGCTAAATCTCATTTGTTTTACCTTGGTATTATTGAGAATTTTTACTGGCTATATTTAATCATGGTTGACTGAATGGCACATCAATCGCTAACTGTTAACCTTTGCTTTTGCGTGATGCTTCTTCCACACCACTAGGTGTCAGTATACGTTTAAATTCAAAACATAGAAGTTCAAGACAAGTCCGGTATAAGTTGAAGTCAATTTTAATTAGATGCAAGAATAGATCCCCACAAATAGAGCGCTGCAGGGATGACATATTTTTATAGGCCAAAACCTGGAAACGAGTTCGCATTTAGCACTTCCTGAATTCAATGTTGTTGTTTTTTGTAGTTTTTTTTAAAGGGGTCATATGATGCTTTTTTAAAGATCATTATTTTGTGTATTTGGTGTAACAGAATATGTTGACATGCTTTAATGTTCAAAAAACACATTATTTTTCAAATACTGTACATTATTGTAAGTCCTCTATGCCCCGCCTCTCTCAAACGCTTCGTTTTCTACAAAGTCCCTCCTTCCGACAAGCGCAGTCTGCTCTGATTGGCCAGCTGACCCAGTGCATTGTGATTGGCCGAACACCGCAAGCACTCGTCGGAAATGTAACGCCCCTTACCATAATCGCGAACTTCATCTTTCAAAATAAATGTAAAGACAGAGCCCGAAAGGGGAACAGAGTCTCGTGACAGACACAGTGATGAATATGTGTTTGCAGTACACAAGCCACGGTTAAGACAGCTGACTCCACTGTGATGTGTCTCGCTCTCTCTCTCGCTCTCTCTCTCGCGCGCATGCACACACACACACACCGCTCTCTCTCTCTCTCTCTTTCTCTCTCTCTCTCTCTAAAACCGAGGTAAGTGTACTGCATCGTGTGTTCTAGGGCGGTGCTGCCTAGACTGAACTGGTGTCTGTGTTCCTGACATCTGGGCTTTTTCTGAAAGATGCTAATTGCGAGAGGTTTCTGTTGTCTGCCAGCCTGCTAATGTGGACATGCGCTCATAGGATATGCTAACAGTTTAGGTGCGGTGATGGTGACACATGCTGTGTAGCTAAATATACCCTGTGCCTGCTTTGTCGCTGTGCCACAGATATACACACACATGCATACACAAAGAGAAAGTCAAAAGAGGTTGTTCACATGCTTTTCCCCTTCCTGTGTTGAGTATACAATGAACAGAAGTTAGTCAGAAAACCAGAAAAGCTCTTGAAATACAATATGCCTTGCAGTGTAGCATGCATAAACATAAAAACATCAGAAACACTCTCTCTTTCTCTCTATATATATCCTAAGCCTATCACAGACCATTCAATGGTGCCAGTGACTTCCTCCAAATAGTATGAACCTTTTTGGGGCATGTTGTCACAAAACCTTTTCAGGAAACAACGGTCACATTTTTCAGTGGCTTTTTTTGTAGCCAGTGCTTTTTGGACATCAAATACAGCTTTTGATGACTGTAGTCGTATGACGGTCTCAAGGCCCCCAGAGGCCTCAGTCAGACCTGCACCTGCTGCTTACTGATGCTCTAAGTTTAGATGGTGCTTTTCAGTAACAAACTCTTAAACTTCTCCTTTTTAACAACCTATCTGTTGGCTTTCTCCTCACCACCTGCTACTCTGTACATCCTGGCCTATAGTTTTCATATCTTATGTGTTTTTGTCCTCAGTTGTTTTTAAACGAGAGGCTCAGATGTTTTCATAGAAAATAACGTCTGCTAATTATTTTTTTAACCGTAAGTTTTTTTTCCTTGAAAGTATACAGCTGTATTGCATATGTTCAATGTTGTTCATTTATGCCAGTTTTATATAGTTTATTTTTCATCAATCAATACTGTGGAGTCCAAAAGTCAAAGACCACGTTGAAAATCTGAGATTCAATATCAAATTCAAACCTGGAAAGGTTTTAGGTTTTCTACAAAAAAAATAAATAAAAAATTGAGAATAAATAACAAATATGAAAGATTATGCACTATTTCTAATCAAATAAGTACATTTGTGGCATTAATCCTGAGAACACTTTTGAAAGGATGATCTTTGGAGCTCAAATCATGCTGGAGATTAACATGATTATCAGGTTTTACACAAACTTGTTCATGCATTGTTATTCTTGCAATATAATTGGTAGTCAGACTTTTGGACCACTGTTTGTTGGATGGGAATAGCAATTAAATATCTTTAGCATGGGATGCACAGAGAAAGATGCATACTTCAAGCCACAGCTACATCAGAGACGCCATTTACGACTTTGAATGCGTTTTTGCAGCAATTGTCTTATCTAATCTTCCCTTGAAATAGTTTAGATCGTCATGACACCACACCACACACACCCTTTTAAAATTACCCACATTTACCAGCCTTTGCAATATCCTTCACTCACGTTTGAAGAATTTCAAAAGCTGAAATTCTGAATATTTGGAAGGTCTGCAAGGAAGTTTACATTTACAAATGCAATTTGAAACAAATCAAATGCAGTCTAATCTTATGTGCACTTTTGCAAGACAAGTAAGGCCAAATACAGCTGCTTTAATTATTGAATGTTACATAATACAAAATATATTCAACACTATTAAAAGGATTATATACGCAAAGTTGACCACATTAACCTAAAATCAGACTTAATATGTGTACTGATTTATATAATATACTTGTTTCATTCTGAGATTGGGAAATCTGATGCTTGCAATGGCAGTCGACCAAAGGTTACATTTGAAATGAGTTTGAGTTACATTTAGTTTTGCACATCGTCTACCGCTTTTAAGCGCCATGAAGCATTTACACCTCAAACTACGAACGTCTGCATATCGGATGTTTTTATTTTACTTTTAATGCAAAATTAATGCAAGAAAGCTTTTAAGATCGCAAGATGTTTGTGCCATGTTTTCTTATTTTGCTTGATGGTGTGACATCTCAAATTTCAAAGGAAGTCAAAGGAAGTTTGCTTATTTTCTGTCATTACATCACCTTTTCACAACTGTGTTAAAAGCTGACCACTGATGGACACACAAAAGCCCCCGTTTCTTACCTTCACAGCTTCTCACAGTTCCTGAAGCCTTGTCGGGTCACCCAGCGTTGACATCTCCAAGGATGCTCCTCATTACTGGAACCAGCAGACTCTCCAAACTTCAAACACTTGTCTTGTCTGTGTGTGACCTGAGTGTCTCACCTGCCTCGCAGCGTTGATTAAACGCTCTCCACTCTGACTCGTGGCTTCTCTTTGGTGTGAAGTTCTTTGGTAAAAGTTAGAGGCTGCTTGTTCGCCTCTTTATGAGATCAGCCCACAAGCCCCTGTCTGTGTCTACTTCTTTTAACACAAAGCTGATGGCTCTACTACTACACCATGGCCCACATGTCCCTCACATACGTGTATCAGTGGGTGTGGGTGCATTTATGAAAAGAAAAATGGTCAGATATGGAAAACCACTCTTATTGATTGTTCCGATATGCATTTCTGATGGCCAGATGCTAGTCTACACTCATCCTTGACTGGGTCCTTGCTGTTCAGCTTCATTTTCAGCCATTAACTAAAGTTGCAAAGGCTCTAAATTTAAGTTTAAGGAATCACAAATGTCTGTGCTGTTTTGGAAAGACCTAAAATCCTTGATCACCTTCAAAATAGGCACTCATTGCCAATGCTGTCAATAATGCCACAATAATGGTCAATTGATATGCATTTTTCAATGACAGATTCTTAAGTTCTTAATATCGTTCACACCAGCTATGAATATTGTCACATTATTGCTAGCTACTCCTTTCAGATCAATAACTACATACATGTCATAATTCTGTTTTGCTATTTTGCTTTGCATTTTTGTGATGTTACCACATATATAACAATAAAAAAAGACTATTTCCTCATATAAGTAGAACACAATACATCTATTAGCTTTGTCAGATGGCTAATGTGAAGGGACGTGACTAGTGTGCATTTCATGTGTAGCCTATATTGTCAAGGACAGCGCGCCCCCTACTGGTTATTCTAATACCTGTCAGCATTTCATCCATCTGAATTTTAGTAGAAGGTACGTAATCTATGTTAAGTTTCTTCAACTCTTAATTATAAAAATGAATAATTAATAATTTTACCGATCAAGAAGGTATAGTGCAGTTACGCAAACGCATAGGATACGGAAATACAGAAAACTACAATTTTATCATTTTTCTATGACGCTTCATATTGATTAATTATTATATAGCCTACACTTATTATAAGTTAAGCCTTTATGAGCGAGTGTAGACGATAGAGGGCTTTCAAGGATTCACTTTTTTCTTAACCACATGAACGGTCGTGTTTGTGTTCGAAAAACTGTTGCTTAGAGGTTCTCCAACAGTTTTGGCCTGTGTATCAATCTGAGGAACCCCGAATGGTACCCCAAGTATCTTTACATTTTTACATAACATCTATATCATTGACTATTGTTTTCTTAAATCAGTTTCCATTGTTAGAATGAAAAAATAGAGACTTAATTATTAAGCAATTAAATTCTATAGCCTACAGTACTGTTGAGCTGAACTGGTCTATTTACACCTCTAAATGTGTCTTTATTCTACTTAGCACACTCAACTACATGTACATCCACACACCAGAAGTGTGAACATGTGGTTTAACAAGCCTGAGTTCAATCAGATATCAGACAAATTTACCCCAGCCTGAAACCATCTTCATTGTGATCATGTTTCATATTTAATCATGAGCACTTTAATCATTCACTTTACAAATACCCCATATATTAGGAGGGAATCATTTATGAATACGTCTACACAATTACTAGCACAGTTATTTTCATTACACATTCTGTGTACAAAATACTATGAAGCAAATGAAACCATTTTTAGTTTTGTTGTTACTTTGTGTGTGTGTGTTGCTGCAGCCGCATATTTTTTTTCTTATTCTTCTGTTTTTCCTTTACATGGAACATTACGAACTCATAACAGCTTTGGTGAAAAGTTGTTTTCGATGTCGTAATGAGTTAGAACCAGTATTTCACACAAGCAAGGTGAATACTAATAATAATTTCCATGAAACAATCAATGATGTGCCTGTGAGAATTCCCAAACTTGAATCAGATTTATATGCAATAAGCAAATAAGGGAAATGAGAGTAAAATGATTACTACTTTTTATTACAAGTGGCCACATATTTGCAGAATAAACATTTTGATATTATACAAGTCATGGTTTATCTATCATTTGCTAGGCCGTATGGAGAGATTGGCTTGCACATCACTACATTGAGCAAAGCAAATACCTTATGTGTCTATACAGTGATCAATGGGGTCAATGGGGTCCAAAACCAACACTGGACCCCAGTAACTTTCACCGTATAGACAAAAACACAAAGACATTTTTCAAAATATTTGTGCCCTACAGATGAACGAAAGTCTGGAACAACATGAGTAAGTCTACAGTTTGTTTTTGGGCGAACGATCCCTTTTAGCAGGTTATTATCACAATGAAAAACTGTTCAGGCAGCATTATTGCTGATTAAGGGTTCTCCGAGCAAAAGATTCTTCTGAGCTGTCCTGAGATCTCAACAGACAGCATGCTGTACCTGCTGTTGAAGTTCCACAGGGACCTTACGCCATTACGAGATCCGTCTGTGTCTCGTAGCGACAGAGGGAAGGACAGCGGCCAGTTGGTATGAAGGGGAGATGGACGCAAAGACGACGAGCCCCAAGGTAGCATCTGGTTGCTGTGCTGGGTGGCAGACTGGCTCAACCCAGGGAGCAGCTGAGGAGGGGGTGGTGAGGCCGCAGATGCTCTCTGGGCCGGAAACAGTTGTGGGTGGCTTGGTGGGTCGTTGCTGGAAGAGACCTGTGGGTGAGATGCTGTGTCTGTCTCTACTGGGTCAGCGCTGTTGTCCAAATGGCTAATCTGTGAAGGTAGGTTGGCACTTTTAGGAGGCACTCTCAGGGGCGAGATGAACGGAGATGAGCCGTGCCAAGAGTAATACAGCTCTGGAGCTTCTGGAGCATTACCGGTAGGCAAACCCCACAAGGAAGGCTTGAGATGGGACGCTGCGGGATAGTGGAAGGGCACCATTGGATGATTGGCATCCAGACCTCGCCCAATCCCCATGTGATACTGCAAACTCAGCACCTCGGCCCTGAGCTGGGCGTTCTCCTCGCTAAGCGCCATAAGTTGCTCCTCCAGCATGAAGTCGTTGATTCGTCGCTTCTCTCTAGAACGCTTGGCGGCCTCATTGTTCTTCTTCCGTTTCACCCAATAAGACGTGTCCTTTTTCTCAGCAGGAGTCATCTCGCGTTTACGTCGTCTGTTGGGCATGAGCGGGTTGCGGTATGACTGGAGGTGGAACAGTCGTCGTGCCAGTACGGTTGAGCCGGTGAGTGGCAGTAGCCTTCTTAGACCTCCAGGGTCATCTTTGCTTGTCAAGATCTCGCCCGTGGAGGACGGAAGACAAGCATCTGCTAGATGCTCGGGACTTCTCATGGTACTCATTGTTCTGGAAAGATAAAGAACTTGATCAGTAGGCCAAACCAATACTTTGATTAAAAAAAGTATCACTTTTAGGCTTGAGAACGGCAGTAATCATATACTTGTTGGTATTGCTGTACTGGTGATATTAGAATTTAAGAAGAACGATGCGAAAGCTCAGGATTTTTTCTCTTCCATGAAAGAAGAAGCATGCACTATTAAATGCAAGTTAAATTCATTACCACTTATTAGCGTTCATAGTGCAGTTTCCTGTCTGAATGAGGGTAAAAATAAATGTGAGAAGCTCGCCAGCCTAACAAGGAAACGTACTGGGCAAATCCTAATTTTAAATGTGCAAAATAATGATATAGTTTGCGAAAAAATGCGATATGCTCAATTAATGATGATGTTAGATTGGATCTAATGCATACAACCTTGATATGATCAATTTATGAGGTCAACCATGAAAAAAGATCTTGATTTGCTAAAAGCAAGTCAAAAAATGTGTATGTCATTTAAAACCATTGCATATCTGCCAAACTGACTTAACATCAAAATAGTGGCTATTCGTTTTGTGACTTTTTTCTTTCTCCAAAAGCAATTTGTTTGGTGAATATGAAGCTTCTTGCAACAATCCAGATATATCAATCCAGAGTTAAACTACTGCATGATTTGCATTTAATGAATTCAGTATTTTAACGTTTGCATACAGAATACTAAGTATTATGTATAAGTACTACTTTGCAAAGTCTTAACTGAGGAGAACCGTTGCGAGAAAAAATAGCTTTACCTTACCTTTACGGTGCTGTCACAGGAATGATGCTAGAAAGTGAAGATGAATTAAAGGACATCAGCTTAAAACTAAAACTCGTTTGGCTGGAAACTTTCAGACAAACTCTGTCAACCAATGGCAGTCACGGTGGCACATGTAATCTGCACACGTATGCCTATTGCATGAAAGGAGCTGTAGTAGGTGAGGACCACATCTTCCTTCCTTAGATATGGAGGCGGAGAGTTGCAAACAAGTATCTCAAACCAGTGGTTTGAGTTATGACTCACTTTTTGGTTTGTTCTACTTTTAAAAGAATGAATAAAAGAAATTATCGCTGGCGCACTCAGCATCTTGATGTTTTGTTTTCATTTTTGTTTACGCATTGTCTTCTGTCCAGTGGTTATCCATGCCGTTAGCTCTTCATTTTAGTTCTAAACCAAAACTAAAACTTTTTTGTTTATTGAATTTCACACACCATTATCTGCTCATGACATTTTCTTTTTTTAAAGGGGTCATAGGATAAAAGGGGAAAACATTTAACCAGATTAAAAAAAAACACTGGGTGGATTTTTATTATTATAGGGTGGTTGTTTACACACACTGCCAACACACATTTCAGTTCAAACAACTTGTAAAAGTGCATGTAGCACCCTATGACCCCTTTAAATGTACATTTTATTTATACATTTATTTTTAATATCATGGATGCCCTGTGAAGTAACAATCCCACACTTCAACCAAAACTAGCACATTAATTAGATTGGCCAAACATACAGCACTGAGGCCCATCAGTGTGGTTGTATGTTCACATTGAGGTTATTTCGGCCATAATTCAAATAGAGTATGCTAGTATGGGCATATGTGTATTATTATGTTTTATTTATGACATTCTGCTTTTTGATTATAATGTGTAAAATGCAAACAGCATAATTAAACGTAATTATTCATCATTTAGTAAACCAAATTCTTCAGAAAGCGCTAGTATGTCATTCAACCAATTATAAGAAGTTGAAGCTCAGTAAACACTGGAACTGAAGAAGGTTAAGATCAGGTAAAACAAACTCTCAATTGTGGCTAAAAAGAATAGATTACTAAGAATGACTTGCATGAAAAAATTAGAGGTTTTTGCAGAGTTTACGTATGTCATCTGGGACTGTCCTTCCAAATTTCCGCAGAAATTGTTTTCGTGTTCTAGATTATGACTAAATCTGTGTCGCTGTGAAACATAATGCAGGTGCGTAGCTTGCACATGGGTTACACAAACTTATTGAAGTTCAACTTGTGGCAGTTCCACTGCCAACCACAAAACAAGTAAAAAAACCTAAAATCTTGACTAGTAAATGCATAATGCAGGAAAAATATAATCGGATGAATGCGATGTTGTTGCCTTCACCTCATTTATGAGAGTAATGCTGCGCATCACCTGTGGTTGGTTTGAAGAATTAGCCACACTTGACATTTTAAGACTGTGTCTGCAAGATAAAAATGGGCCATGTATCGTTCGTTAAAAAACACGATGTTGTTGGTGTTCAACAGGTGTTGGATCATAGCTCAGGCTTGGGGTCGCAGTGGTTGCGAAGAGTGTTGGTGGGGCGGCATACCTGTTGGTGTTTACCGGTGACTCATCGAATAGCTGTTGGATCCCTCTGTGATTTTTTTTCTTCTTATACTCGGTGACTCATAACGCCACCTCAAAGCTCCACAGAACTCAAATGTTTTAACGTGGGACATAACCTGTAGTTCAGATGTACCGTTTTGGTTACCGCACACAGCCCCCTCACGTGGTGCGCACATTCGCACGCGCAAACACAGTTCGGGCTTAACCAGGTAATCAGTCCTAATGTATTTGTTAAACTTGTAGATAAAACAGCACATTTTTCAAGTATGCTGCAATGGCGCGTGTGAATGAGGATGAACGCTCACCGCAGCTGGCGCGCATTGAAGTTTGAACTTTCAGGCCTCACCTTTTGCATACAGTTCAGCTGCGTTGTTTGTCTGTACAGTAACTCCAATCACCCTGTTTCTTTCTCAAGTGAATTCAAACCACTTCCTGTCTCTGAGTCGTCAGTGTTTTCTCCTCACAACGACCTCATTTTAACTAGCCCCTCTCCCGTTTTTGACTCGTTCGTCGGAACAGAAACTAAAGCAGCGATTGCAGAGCAGCAGACAGGGGTATACCCCAAAAACCTCATTCGAGGCCACCTACTCACTTCCCAGAAAACAAATGATTTTGCTGATATTTTACATTAGACGTTGGGTTTTTGGAGCACTGATGCCATGACGTTATCTGCACGCCTTTCATTCATTGGCGTATTTAGTTCAGACTCATTAGGGATGTTGAAATCGTAGGCAAATCGTTGTTTAGGGTGGCAAGGATGGATAAAAGGCCTACGAAATGGTGATGGTGAGACTTTGACTTCTTCAAATAAGATCTGCGGCATTTTGCAAGAAAGGCGTCCAGTATAGATGTTTATGTGATGAATTCAATGCAATGCAAGGTAATATTAGAGCTTCTGAAATCTTTTTAAGAAATTCATACTTTCATTCAGCAACACTTAAGACATATTACAAATGATTTCTATTTCGAATAAATGCTGTTCTATTCATCAAAGAATCCTGAAGAAAATGCGTAACATTTCCACAAAAATATTAAGCAGCACAGCTGTTTTTAACATTAATAATAATAATGTTTCTTGAGCAGCAAATGAGCATATTAGAATAATTTCTGAAGGATCATGTTATAAATTAATACATAAATTACATTTGAAATATTTTCAAATAGAAAAGTTACTAAAAATGTACTGATATTTCACAATATTGCTGTTTTTTCTGTATTTTTGATTAAATAAATGCAGCGTAGGTGAGAATAAGCGACTCAAAAAACATTAACAAATGTTACTAATCCAAAGTTTTGAAATGGTATCTTTTGACCTTTGACCTCTAAGAGTAATTGAGAACCATTTCAGCTTTTCTCTGAGCATCTATCAAAACAAAATGCTCAAAAGTTGCATAGGCCATAAAAATGTGATACATAATGTCTTGATGTTTTTTTTTTTATTATTATTATTACAAACGAACTGTGTTTTTGAAAAATGTGAACACATACTGATTTATTTTTAATATTATTTTTTTTCTTAAAATAGTAAAATTATCAAAACTATAACATCATGCTAAATTCAGGAAATTAAGGGGGTCTGAATACTTTCCGTACCCACTGTATATATATATAACTTAATTTAAAAATATATTTAAAGGTAATATATTGTATATACTGTATCAATAATAATAATATCTTATGTTTGAACTTGCATAAAGTCGACTACCTTTTTAGATTTCATCACTGCACACTCTGTTCATTCTCAAACAACTAAGCTTGAGGTGCATTCTGGGATGCTTTTGAATTAAAATGGCAGTTTTGTAAAGAAAATGATATATATGCACCATTTGTTTGTCCGCACAACTAATTTCAAGAAGCACCAAATGTGTCCAAACTTTAGACTGGTTTAGTTGTACATAATTGCCAAAATAAAATATTTTTTTCTCCATTAATACACTCTATTTGAGTACTCAAATAGAAATATAACACACAGTGACTACAATACCATTCTCTGCTCTCAAGAAGGCCACATACGCGTGTTTACAAAATGCAACCTGCGGTTTTGTCTTTTCATGCAATTAAATATATCCACTGTGTTCTGATTGATCTGAGATCACTGCTACCGTTTGATCGCACGGTCATGGCCATCGACAGACCCTCATTAGGCCTCCATCAGCACCTGTGGAACCGCATGCGGTGAGGCTTTCAGAGCGAGATATGTGCACTCATTGCGGTTTGACAGGCTTGGGGCAACAGTTAAACTGTAATGGAGCACTGCCAATAGCAACCTGGTCAACCGGTCACAATGGCTCTGCAGGTCTGGGTCTCATCTCGCAAACCACTCTGCATCTGAGAGAGGCCACGTGTAAAAATAGATGAGCTTGATAGGACTTGAGACGCGTTATCTCACACACACACATGTATGTGCAGTCAAACCTCCTACACGGCTTCAGCGCAGCCCACCGAGTTTTGATAGCCTAAACGCAGGGGCCACCGTAAAGGGACTCCTTTGATTTGAGACCTTAAAGGGGTCATGATTGAACCACTTTGGGCCTTGATATATGGTCTTGCAGCAGGTGAATGGATGCTAATTAAGCTGCAGTGTCTTTGGCTGCCACTAGATGGAGCGCTAGTTGAAGAGTATTGAAACAGGAGCATGTGTGTTAGCGATCCAATTAAAATAAATAAATAAATAAAAATTATATATCACAAATGTCCTCACTGTAGTTATCTGAGATGTGATATGTCTTCATTTGCACCTTGTACAGGGCTAGTCGTCTTCACACCTAATGCAGTTCTCAGACACTTTTAGCGCTAGGACACTTCCTGGCTTAAGTTAGATTGTTTTGGCATATCGCTGATGTGTAAAGTTATATCTGTTTCCACGAAGCAAAAAGGAGAAGTGAAAACGATAGATGACAACAAAGACAACAAGATTAAGGCATAATAAAACAACATCTTCTCAACTTTTCAGTCCACTGTGAAGAAAACCTTCACGTTTGAAGATGCTTCAATGTAAACATGCACACACAATGGCTCGAAAAATATCGGCCTGTAGAAAACACACGATGACAATATTTTGAAAAAAACTAAAATAGAATTATATAATACAGTATAAAATATATGATAAAAAATATAATATATGTATATCTTTTACCCTTTTTCAGACATCTGACTTGAAGTTGACAATGCTTATCGTTCTCTCTTTTAAGGACTGTCTGCAAACTTAGTGCATTTATGCCACCTACTGAGCAGTATTAGGGACAGATACTATACACTATTACATGATATAAATTATACACAACTTTGTGATTATTAATATTTAGTATTCTTTGTATAAAAAATAATTAAAGCACCAGTCAATAGCTTAGACACTACATTGTAATTTCTGCCTCATGATGTATGTTTAAATATTTTTTTATAGACATAGAAATTGTGCATACTACTTATGAATTTCACTTGTGTGTGTGTGTGTGTTTGGTTGGGGGGGTGTATAGTTATTATATATAGATATAGGCCTATACTAAATGTACTATTTGATTTATGACACTCCCCATTGTCTCATGTCTGAGGGGAAATCTGAGGGAAATCCCTTTTGGAATTGTGTGTTAATGCTTATTTTTGTTTTACGGAAATCACCTTCTATAATTTTTTCCCTTACTTCTCATGTTATTTCAAGCAGTTACGCAATAGGTAAAATTCTGTCTTTAAGTCTAAATGTTTACGTTATGCAGGACCATTTTAATCTGCATTGAATTTATTATTTTTATTTTTTTGCTTCTTGTTCAGTTGAATGAATTAAAATGAGCTGAATAACATGATTATTGAAAATTTTGTAGCCACTTAATTGACCCTTCGCAGGGAGTTTGATTGACAGGCGATCGGACCAATTATAATGCCGAATCTGCCATTTTGTCTGACAAACAAACCAGACTGGAGAATAGATTAACGTCGGTTTAGTTGAAGTTGATTGAAACAAGATAACTTCTGATGTTCATTCAGGTTTATTTAGTGCTTTAACTAGTAAATGCGAAAAGATGATTGGTTCTTGAGCAGTGTTGGGCAGTAACTAGTTACTAGTAACTTAGTTACTGTAATAATATTACTTTTTTCAGTAACTAGTAGTGTAAATAATTACTAATAAGATTTCAGTAATAATATTACAGTTACCATCCATAAAACAGTTTAGTTACTTTTGATGCCTCAACCCGCTGATTTAAAATCCAACAATCAAATAATTCCTAGATTTATTTTCATAATTTTCACAACTCGCACATGCATGTGATGTCCCCAGTGCAGCAGGCAAGCTTGGAATATGGAAAAGCTTATATTCAGCAGATAGAAATATTGTATTATATTGATTTTGTCAGGAAAAAAGATAATCTGAAAACTGTTGTGTAAATTGTGGCTTTACTTTACTCTGGCATTACATCGCACCCACATCCCTCTGATCAGCATGTGGTACGGCCTGTAGAAAACACACGATGACAATATTTTGAAAAAAACTAAAAAAACTAAAATAGAATTATATAATACAGTATAAAATATATGATAAAAAATATAATATATGTATATCTTTTACCCTTTTTCAGACATCTGACTTGAAGTTGACAATGCTTATCGTTCTCTCTTTTAAGGACTGTCTGCAAACTTAGTGCATTTATGCCACCTACTGAGCAGTATTAGGGACAGATACTATACACTATTACATGATATAAATTATACACAACTTTGTGATTATTAATATTTAGTATTCTTTGTATAAAAAATAATTAAAGCACCAGTCAATAGCTTAGACACTACATTGTAATTTCTGCCTCATGATGTATGTTTAAATATTTTTTTATAGACATAGAAATTGTGCATACTACTTATGAATTTCACTTGTGTGTGTGTGTGTGTTTGGTTGGGGGGGTGTATAGTTATTATATATAGATATAGGCCTATACTAAATGTACTATTTGATTTATGACACTCCCCATTGTCTCATGTCTGAGGGGAAATCTGAGGGAAATCCCTTTTGGAATTGTGTGTTAATGCTTATTTTTGTTTTACGGAAATCACCTTCTATAATTTTTTCCCTTACTTCTCATGTTATTTCAAGCAGTTCACATGACAATTAATGAGATTAATACAACACTTCTACTTGAATGTCACTACCAATCAATATTGAGTGTTTGTAATAAGTTCTGACTGCGATCCAATGTGGATTTTGGTCAAATGATGAGGCAGAAATATGTTGTTAGTAAGAAGAATTTTATGTGGAAGATACACCGTTACAACTTCTGTGGGGCGTGAAGAAAAAGTAATGTAACTAGTAGTGTAACTAATTACTGTTGCCAGAAAGTAATAAGTAAAGTAACAATATTACTTTTGAAAGGAGTAACTAGTAATGAGTAATATATTACATTCTTTGAGAAACTAGCCCAACACTGTTCTTGAGCTGCTTGAACTGAGGCGCTACAACGATCTGTCGCGACACATTAAAGGGCCACAAAACGGTATTTATAGTTTGAATTTCTTACAAAATGACAAAAATTTTTAACTGAGACTTTGTTTCATACCAAAAGTAACCTGCTTTGTCTTGTCTGTCGGCGCGTTGTCAGTTTCATCTTTTCTCTGTGATTTATTTCTTAGTGCATGGGAACATGATGTGTGTTGTGAGAGCGCCATGGATCATTGAATGTTGCAACAGTAACGAATAGGGGCGGGTCTTTACTAATTTCATTGCGTTCACACTACATAATATATTCAAAATTGAAGTTTACTTAATTTGTGTTAAAACTACATTAATCATTTTTGTTGACAAACTGGACAGTGAATCTCTAGTTCACAGCATGCTTTGCAAAGGACTGCATTTGGAGAGCAAATTCAGGGATTCAGGGACTTTTATGTGTTTTTCAGTAAAGGGAAAGACATGTTAAGTGAAGTGACCTGACGTGTGGCCAAGTTTAGTAACCTATACTCAGGATTTGTGCTCTGCATTTAACCTATATCCAAGTCCACACAGAGCAGTGGGTGTGTTTAATTAAACCGTTTTAAATTAAATTAAGTAAGGGTAATGAATTCATTTCTTAAATGTGTGTAAACTACAAAGAACAAAGTCATAATACAGAATGATGTGAGGTTGCATGAACAAATCTGTACAGTCACTAAACCTCTGCACTGGGGCAATACAGTCAATAAAATGAAGGAGGAGTTACAGTCAGAAATTTTTAGTGGGATTTTGGGGATTTTTTGATCATCCGCTAAGCAAAAAACAGTGTGATTGGTTAGAAAAACAACCTGAGTCAGAACTGAAGGCTTAATAATGCAGTGCACTTAACTTGACCTTTCATTTGCAGTGTGATAAACAAATTATAAATAATATCTACCATGTTTATTCATCAAAAATACAATAATTAAATGTGCAAAATAACTTTTTTATTTGTGAGATTTCATCTGAATATTTTTTGCCTCTTGCTTATTTTGTCCTGACATATTGCAGAAGGGTTCATGAAAGAGACAGGGTTAATGATATGAGACTTATGGATTACAGGTTACATGAATGAGAACTGTACTTTACCTGGGTGAGAAGAGGAGGATGTGATGTGAACCATGGATCTGCTATCAAGGAAGTAAAAATGAAATGCTTCAGTAAGCAGGTGAGGTACTTTGTGGTTGAATCTCCACATGTTGTACTGCTCATTTAACACTTCATTTAACTAGATCTTTAGTAATGTTTTACTACCTCTAATGCAAATGCATAATTGCAATACATACATATATAGCTACACTTTTTTCTACAAAATTTGAGTTGCTAGAAACAACAACAAAATGGCCCATGCTTTGTGATATGAAAAATACGAATTTGTCAACACCAATAGCTTTATTATTTCAATAGTCTATTATTTAATTATTTTCAATAGGTGAGACTGAGTCAATAAAAAAAAAACTGTAGTCTTAATGTATTCTTAATCACAACCGAACGCTAGATTCGTCATTGTTTATAATAAATATTTGACGTGGCATTTAGTGTATCTGATTCAGACGGACAGACACAGATTATGGAAGAAGCAGGAGGTTGCGCCAAAAATAAATAAAAATTGAATACGTAATTCAATAATACATAGCCTACTGGATACACATCTAAATAATCCAAGTAACATATATATTAGGTATAAACTCTTTTTAGTTCACAAACAGCATATGAGATTCTTCATCAACTGTGGGTCCAAAATATGAATCATATAGACGAGCATAATGTGGAAAATGAAACTTCTGAATGTCATGAGAGCTCGTCTTTAACCCTTCAGATGATTTCAGTTGGGAAGTTCAGGTCAACGGCCGCTTTGATGAGTAGTCGCGCTGCAAATCTTTCCGATGTTTGCACCGGAGCCGTTAATTATGGTAAAACTTTGAAACTTTCACTAAATAATATTTATTTAAAAATACTGTTCCTAAAGGGTTGTTGCCATGGTGTAGAGATACAAAAATACCCCCTGACCTTTCTTCCCCATAACCTGTTAACAGTTTCAGTAAGCGGCAAACGCTTTCTTAGTTCTTGTGCATGTTGTGGTCATGCAGGTTTGAGGGTTTAATTTTCCTAACTGTGATAAAAGGTTTTACACATTTACATGTCTAAATGAGAAATATGACAGCATATGTTTCCTATAGTGTTTTCATGATGTCAGTTTGGATTCGCCAATATTATAGTAGCCTATAGCATACTGGTGGACATGTCAACTACTGTTATAAAACGAATTTTGCAAACCTCGCTGTTTCTTTGAAGACAAAAAATGACCAAAAAAAACATTTCAGGATAGCGTACTTCTGTTCTTTGTCATTATTTTTTATGTATAGCCTACAAATAAAATTATTATTATTATCATTTATAAAAATTTAAAAAGTAAAAATGCCTTTTACAGAATTTCTCGGATGTTCACAAGCATACATTAGGCATTGATTAGAAATACAAAGGAAACTTTTAGTCAATAGACTACTTTCTGTTCACCAACCACCATGGCACGGCATGTCACCACACACTAATGGCAAATTAAAACCAAGTTTGTCCTTATGTCCTTATGAATCATTTGCGTAGTGCCTAGTGGTAAGACTACTGGGGGTGTGAAAATATGCTGGTCTTTGCATCATGTGTGTTTCATTCAGTCTGTTCCTTTATTCGCCTTGGTTTATCGCAATTGTGCTGCTCCTGAATGTTCTGTTTATACGTGGGTTTAGAAACCTGGCCGTTGGTGTAGTGAGTGGAATCGGAGAACTTTCATCAGTTACAATCTCAACCAACACTATTTTCAGATAGAGCTTCAGTGTTGTTCTGTCAGTGAACCACATAGTCTTTACTATGTAGAAACATTTGTGGGTAAGAGCATCTCCCTCTGGCCAAGCACTATAACTGATTGATTTCAACTGACTGATCCTTCACACAGAATTGAATGCAAGTACAAATAAATAATGATGCCGCAGAAATATAATATGTATATTTTTTGAGTAAATATCTAAACAGCCTGAAACGATACATTTCAATTTAAATGTCTGTTCTGGGAGTATGTAACTCAGTATTACAGGTTTTTAAACTTTTGTAACTTTTTAATGTCATGATTGCTAACGCCTTCGTCTCATTGTATTGTGTTAATTTAGCAAAATCACTGCTGAAGTCTGTTGCAGATATGATATTCATGCATATAACTATGGTTGCAGGGGCACAGTCAACTATACAAGGAGGAGCCATGCTATCGAAGTCCTGCCCAAACCCTCACAGACCCAATTGCAAACGGTGAATTAATTAAAAAAGGTGAATTTATTTTGCTTCAAAATCTTGACACCCATTCAATGCCATTATAAAGCTTGGAAGAGCCAAGATATTTTTAATATAACTCTGACTGTATTCGTCTGAAAGTAGAAAGTCATATACACCTAGGATGGTTTGAGGGTGAGTAAATCATGGGGTAATTTTCATTTTTGGTGTACTGTACTATCCCTTTAAGACAGTCATTTAACTGTAGGGGGGTCCAAAGTTGCAAAAAATATACAAAACTACATAAAGTTGCTTACACTGTTTTTTTAGGTTTATATTTTTTAAAAATTCCAAATGCATTAATTTTTTTTATAAAATATATTTAAAGGGTTAGTTCACCCAAAAATGAGGACGCGTTTATCTCGGTATCTTTGGACGCGCGTTCACGACAGTTCCATGACGCGAGCGCTGCCCCAGATCCGGCGTATCTTATATTATGGATGTTTATATATTTTAAGAAAAACAAAATGTTGTGCAATTTTATGATTAATACATTTTAAAATTATTTTTTATTATATACTTGAAATTATCATTTCAATCATTAGAAAAACTGTGGAAAGATTATTGTCTAATTGCCTCATGATGGCTGTCTAATGTCTCGGCATTATTATTCTTCTTCAAACTGCAGAGACACCAAGTTCTGTCAGGCCATTGCCAATACTGAGCTGAATGGAGATCAAACTGAGAAACATGGGTAAGCAAAGACTAATCTAAAATTCTCATATTTTTAACTTACAATTTCCACAGTGCAGATTTCGCTCTGGCACAGTTCAGCTTCCTTCGCAGGCTGCTGCTGGTACACGGGCACTGGTCATACTACCGCATCTGCATCCTTCTGCGTTATTTCCTCTACAAAACCACTGCTTTTGCTCTGGTGCACATTTGGTATAGTTTCTACAATGGCTTCAGCGCTCAGGCAGAGCAACTAGGTCACTTAAAACACTTTACACCCACCAACTCCAACCACACTGCAAAAATATCTGTCATTACAGTCAAACTGAGATACGTTTGAGATGTACTGTAACATGTTTGAAGGAAGTCAGATCATTATCAGTAATCAAGATTGAAATCCAAGCGCAATGACTGAGACTGGATAAGCCATACGCAATTATGTCTGTCTTTAGGCAAATTTGTCTAATTGTATGATTTGTGGACATAAAAAGATGATTTAAATTGGTAAGTTGTAGTTTCAATGACATGATGATCTATTAATTTATTTTAAAAAGCATCAAAAAGTGCAGTTTATACATAGAATGATTTGAACACACCTATTCTATAATGAGCATGTTTTTAATTTCTATATTCAAAATAAAGAAAGAGATACAAGTGTCCTGATACCATAATAGAGAAAAAAAAGCCTCATTAAAAGAACTGAATATAAAACCTTAAGTAGTTTGGCACAATGTTGCATTATTGTCATTTTTTCATATATTTTAACCCTTTAACTGTCACCCCCATTTTTGATCATAGACGTGACAGTGCACTATCCAAACTTAAATTGTTATCATTCATGAACGAAAATATTTTGTAATATGATTTTGATGTACCATTTCCATGGTAATGCAATGTCTGATTTTAAAATGGCTTTCACAGGATGAATTTTGAGATTTGAAGCTTTCAATTGATATGTACTTTATGATGATTTCTAAAACGTTATAGGGAAACAGGCAACGAAAAAAGACTTTTTGTGACAAAGTTCAAAACTCCTGTTATGATGTAGATTTTTTAAGGGTGCACTCTTGTCATAAATTAATCTCCTACTGTTCCTACATAATTTGTAACAAAAAACAGCGGTAAAATATTTATTTGGAAGTCTTAGACCTTTCCAACGATATATAGTTTGTCATGATTAGATTAGGATTTAATTGTAATATAGTGAAGTAAACTTAGGGGTCCAGCTGAGGGGACGGGTAACAGTTAAGAGGTTGAAAATATTAATGAAAATAAACTTCCTCATTAAAAAGTTATTGAAACTAAATCCTTATTAAGTAGTTTAAAATTTGCATAATGTCTTTTCTTCTTCATCATCATCATCTTTTTTTAAACAAATCTGCTTAATATTTAAAAAACTTTTTGAGGACTTTATGACAAAGCAAGGCTAGTTAAAATGCTATGTGGTGCAACCAAAAATGTAACAATATTTATACATTAATAGGTCATAATATTTATAAACTATTCATCATGTTAGTATAAATA